ACAATCATTTCTTTACAAATCTTTCGGTAAGGCTCTTGATAAAAGCCGTTAAATACGAATTGTCGTTTTCGACATCAGCAAGACCTTCGATAATGTGTGGGTATAGAACCACTTGCTGAAGTTAATAGCAGCCGGTATCCAGGGATACCTTTGTCCATCCTTTTGTAGGTGAAACCACACGTTATAATTTACAATCGATCGATAATCAAAACATGCATACAAAAACAGGATTTTCTTCCTTCTGTTTTTAAAGAATGGAACAATCTAAAAATTCGCCTTTTGAAAGAAATAATAAATATAGTCCAAACTTTTTTTTAAACTAGGATAAGAAAATGGCAAATATACCAAGCACGTCTACGAACTGAATGCGGCTCTCTTAAACACCATCTGTTCTGTACTGAAAAATATATTTCGCCAATGGGGACTTCCAGAAGCTTACAATCATTTCTTTGTATGATCATAAAAAGCCTCTAACAAACTCTTACAGCTTACTGTAATGTAATTATCCACATATTAATTAATAACGACACAAACTTAAGTAAAGACATTAAAGTCATCATATTTCAGGCAGTTTAAATGCATATTTGAGATAGTAAACGATTAAGTATGTTTCACTCTACTACTACCCCGGTTTACTTGCTGTATAGATCATCCTCTTTTCTACTATTCATCATAAGTTGTTATTTTTTCTATCTTAAATTATGAATGGCTTACACTTGAAACATTTATTAACACAACAATTTTTGCATTAATTCTATTAAGCCTCTATTCCTACTTCTTTCAGATATAAAATTTTACTCTATTCACTTTTCGTTTTATGGGTCTTTTATTTGACTAATTGACGGCTCTTCATCTTTCTTCAGTCTACTAGGATAAATTGTTTAAATCCTTTCTACTTATTCAATATTTCAAATATTTTCAAAAACCTGTCGAATTTATAGTAAGAAATCCTATGTTAGGAAAATTACTTTTTAAGCAGTTTATGGTTTCAAATGCGATCAGTTTTCAGCATTCTATTGAACGAAGGTAAATAACTAGACTAGTACTGAATTATTACTTTTGTCACAAAATATTTGAAAAGACAGACATACAAAGCCGGCAAAAGAATAATTATTCAATGAGCTTTATTATGCTTCAAACATCAACTAACAACGTTCAACAGTTGTTCTAAATCATTTGATAGAAACAACAAAATATGAAAACAAATAATAAAAGGATGGGTCGCATAAAGTGAACACATCTCCAAGCAAAAACAAGCAAACGGGATCAGTAGCAATGAGGATGGCAAGGAATCAAATAAGACAGGAGGCGACATAAGGACACAGCACGACACACTATTAAACAAGATTTGATGAAATAAACCGTATATCAATCTTTCATCCCTTTGTTGACCAATTTTAAATATATAAACTTTCACATAATCAACAATACTTTTCATATTACTGCTGGCGGTTGGGACAACACTATAGCCTTCAAATTATTACAAGCCGAGTAATAGGTTAGGATAATGTAATAAAAGTAAGCTTATAAGTCAAATGTTACAATTTCGAATAATAATGATTATTTCTATCGAATGGCTCTTTATGCCATGAAAAATTATATCAATCTTAATAAATAATTCAAGAAATAGAGTTTCAATTTATCTTATTCGTGATTTTCGAAAAATAGTGATTCTAATAATATGTTTACATACTGATGCTTCCGGAAGTGAATAAAGTGACTGATCTATAAAGTTGAATCCAATTATTATTTTGCCAAAGTCATGATAACTTGCGTTATATAGTTTCTTATGTTGAAAAAAGGGGAGATATACTTTAATATTTAGCTGAATAAATTACGATTGAGTTTAAATATCAACAAAGATGACTCTTATTGAACATCAAATTACGTTCGCGGTTGTTGCCATGTTTTCAATCGGATAATATGAGGGATATACAAAAATAATCAGATTTAGTATGTAAACTGGTGTGTATATAAGTAAGATCTATTTCGTATAACTCATGAAGCCCTGTCTCCGGTGTCAATTAATTTCAGAATGTAAATTTGTAAATGTAGTGATGCTAAACTTTGTTCGTGATGAAATCTTCTTTATGATACACTTCATTGTAGTTCTTTTCAAGTATTTTCAATAAAGCTATTTAATAGTCAACATAGAATATCACAGAACACTATGTTCTATAAAAAATGAATATAATAATTTGTAATTACAGATTTTACTTTACAGGCAAATTATGCCTACAAAAGTTTCAAGGACATTTATGTGCCTTTAATCAGTGCAATTATGGAGATATGTGAGTTACCTTTCACACGCTTCCATCACAAGTTTTGACAGTGTAATGAATTTCTGACTTTTTTTCTATGAACATGTGATGTTTATTTTACCAGAAAGTAAGCACTTGCAAATGTTCAAAATAAAACGGCGGTACTTCATCTCACTTTTTGTCATATTTTCTGAGTTTTCTTTGAACCATAGTGATCCTAATATTTTAATTATCTATAATTGAATACCGATTATGCCGGTGTTAGAGGGCTTGAGAGAGTTGCACTTTTCAGTAAATAAAACTACTAAATAAAACTAATTTTCATTATTTTAATCCTATTACTCGTTTCGGTTTATTTGGTTATATCATTATAACGATATGTGCACCCGTTTTATGCAAACAACTTTTTTGTCAGTCTAAAATAGCGAAAAGGCGACGACAATTTTTCCGAAACCTATTGGCCGGAACGGAAGTATATCGGTGTCTCACTTATAGTTGTTCTTTTCCCTCATTTTGCAGTCGCTAACTTGTATTAACTTTAAAGTACAATTATATAAGAATCCAAGTAATCATATGAGGAAGACTTTTATTCATTTTCAACGAAAATGAAACCCAATTTTCCTTGTTAAAGGCTATTTTTTTCGGAACACGGTCGTGATTTTTCGATAAGCTGTGTGTATGTTTTAATTACTTTTAACACGTAAAAATATGCAGTGAACTTTATATTTAATCAGTATAATGAATGGTAACTATAAATATCACCTGTACCACAATAAAACACATAAATTATGTGGTTGTTAATAAATTATTTATTACATTCGTTTCATATCTCAGTGTTGAATTTTACTTAAACGGTGTTAGGGTACGTTTGAGAAAAAAAAACACATTTGAACTCATAGCATGTTGTGCAATCATTAAATTGCAATGGCATTAAATACATGTATATGATTACTTTTCATGCCGCCTTAGGTTCAAATCATATTTTCTATAATAAACAGCTGGTTTAAGGAATATAAATGGACTGTATAACGTACTTCAACCATAAATTCATAAATCTATCATAAGATTATACATGTATATATTTCACCTGACTTAAACTACTCCAAACCACACCACACAATTACATTTTTATTTTAAGACAGATAACCCGAAACGAAGTCGATGACACTCAATTTGTTTTCGCTTATTTCATTTTTTTCTGTCATAATTTTCACAGATTCGTAGATTTTCATAGAAGACATTTTTCATTCCGCTATAATATACTTACATACAACCTTAAGACATCAAATATTGCCACAAATAGAAATTATTATGTTGGCCATTTGTACTGAACAGGGAAACTACATAATTATTCACTTGGCATGAATAATGTCGATAAGATTTATTTGATGGTTACCCAAAACTAAATTCTTTGTTTGGTGAGAAATACACTAATGATATGTATTATAACTATACATAGACAATTATAATTAATGACAAAAAACTCAGTTAAAACAAATATTTAAGTTTACAATATATATATTTATGTAAAAATACTTGAATAATATGAATTTACTCCATTTAGTTAATTTATTCCGCCGTATTTTTTCGTCTTTCTTTTTTTTCTTCCCTGTTTATAATTAAGGCATGATCAAATTGAAATTAACCATGATTCAGTACTTGATAGAACACAATACTGTTTTTAAACCTGCTTATTGACAATGTTTTAATGTGGCTCAAATTACCTTTATCACTATAGGGAAATTATTAGGGCTCATTGCTGAAACCATTTATCGTTGTTTTTGTTATGAAAGGTTTTTAATAACTTCGTTTCAATAATCATATTGAGACCACTTGAAATAAAGTTTGGAGCTGTATAAGAAATAAGTTTGCGTGACAATAAATCTCAAACATCGTTCGTTTAAAAATTATATTTTCCATATGTTTAAAATAGAGTTTATGAAAATTTACTGATTTGTTAAAATGTCAAATTCTGACACGAGATTTTTTAAATATCTTAGCATAGTTGCTTTCCTAACAGCAGCTGAAGGTACGTCCTCTTACTTTGTTTTTGTTGTTGTTTTTTATCATCAAATTTTTTATCGAAAACAAGCATACTTATCTATTTAACCAAATCAATTTTCTGTTTACCAAGTGAAAATTGGTTCCCAACTTTTTATAGCTGAGTTTCTATATGCATAACGAAAGAAATAACATTGATGAGTCGATTTAAACGAAATGTTATGATATATACATGTATATTTAACTAGCAAATACATATTCTGCTGGTTTACAAATGTAAATTTATAATAAGTTAGAGGAAATTTTTCTTCCGGCATTTCAGGATTTGTGCTCCTATGACTACCTTTTGAAACAGAACATTGTTGGGTCTGCTTTCCATGAGCTTTGCTCTTTGTTGATGACTTTCAACCTTATAATATTTTATTGTTTGTAGCTAGACCGGAAATAATTGTGAAAACAAGCGGTCAGATTATAACAAGTCATTAAATTTGTGTGACGAAAGACATTTTAGATGTTTAATAATCTAGTTTGTTTTGAATAAAAGGAAAGTAAAATTTTAATGAGAAAATTTGAATTTTTGTACTGTTATTCTCCGGTTCTTGTGGTTTAGCGCATTTCTATTATCAATTTTATGACTATGGAAAAACTACATCCTATGTCATTTCTTTCCATTTTCAGTACAAGTTTTTGGTTGAAATTTCACAATTTCCAAAGATCAAGTTATAATAGGTAGCACAGGAACATTAACTATGGCATGTGAAATCACAGAAATAGATGTTGAAACGATCTACCTTATTCAAATACGAATGATCAACTCAACATTGCTTTCAGGGACAGATTTCCCTGAATGGGAAACATTAGCATTCATGGAATTAGTTTCAAATGAAAGTCCTACATTAAGTTCAGATATCATGGCAAGTACTAAAGATTATTTCGCCGATGGAGCTTGGAATTCTGTAACACCTACATCGACATACCTTACACTGTCTATGAATATTTCAAAACTTGAATGCCACGATGCCAGGGAATACTTGTGTGAATTAGCCTTCAAAAGCAATATCACTTCAGCTGTCAAGAAATTTGAAATGAATGAAAATTTCTCAGCCTATGGTAATTTTTCCTTTTACTATTACTCATAGCCATTCTTGAAACGAACACAAAAATCATATTAAATATATGAAATGACATTAAATAGATAGTTATCTTGCATTCAAGCTTAAGAAATTACTCTAAAATCAAACATTCTAAAATCTTAATGTCAGTACCACATTTTGTTATTTTCATCTACAGTTATATTTTTAAATTGATAATTTAACATTTAAGCACCTCCATACATATATATTCTACTAACGGGTCATTTATCATTAATGTATGGGTTTTTTTTGACAGTAAATCCACGTGTAATATCGTTAATTGCAAGAAGGGATGGTTTAATTGTTCAAGGAGCTTCCAACCTATCAGCCGCTGTGTCTGTTACTGTAGGAGATGAATTGGAACTCAATTGTACAGCTAATATTGGAAGCTTGCCAGAAACAGTAATTCGTTGGAATATATCATCTGAAACCTCATCAGCTGGTGAATTTGATGAGTATCGACGAACAGCCGGTACATTTGATGATGGAACGGTAATCAGTGATAATCAGTGTGGATATATCCGAACTGGGTCTATTCAGTACAAAATAAAATCATCTGATGTTCTAAGAGCTTCTTACTTGGTATTTGAGTGTTATGTTAGAGTCAATAAAGGTCCCTATGGATCATTTGTTACACAAACTAATCCAAGATTCTATTTTGACGTCAGTAAGTTATTTTGAAGTATATTTAAATATTCAATTTCAAAATTTTCAAATTGTTTATAAACATACCTTTATATGAATAATAAGTCCAAAATTCATTTTTTTTTCCTTCTTTAAATATATATATGTTTCATGGATCAATTTCTTAATACAATTTAAAGACAAATAAATTCTGAAAAAAAATTCAAATAGGGTAATAAATGAATATCTTAATTCTTTTGAGTAGTTTTAGAAGAAAAAGAGTGACCCTTCAAAATAAATGAAAACAAACATAATTAAATTGTATAAATGCTAGTAGGTATGTATCTGTTATTATGCATTTATTTTAGAAGAAGAAACAATAACTACACGATCTACAGTATCAACGTCAGTTGAGACACAACTAATTACAACAGGTATATGTTCATGATAAATTCTATTAGTATGATTATTTCAGTCATTTTCCTTTAATTAATGGCAATAAAACATTAATTCAGTTTAATATATCTAAACAATAAAAAAAATTGTCATTAACTTTATCTAACTACGTAACTGTACAAACGTATTCAACATATACATGTACATAAATGCACGTCCGTACAAATCCTATATTTATCCTATGCAAAATTTGCGGTGCAGTCAAAATCTCGTGAACCGTGATTCAAACCGTATAAGACGCCTTGATAAATTTATTATCTTAATAGATTTATACTTGAATAAATATCTTATTGAGCTTACTATATGGTATGTCCACCTAAATATACGTCGAAATGTAGATACCTGAAGCACTTAACTTTATATATAAACTGATAATAAGAAGTGGTAATATTGTTATCATGACTGATAAGCGCTATAACTCTTCTTTCAAACACTAAATCTTTCAATCCTTATTGGTGATTTGTTAGCATATATTTTTTTTTCGAAACCTTTGAATACATTACAAGATTATTAGGAAAGCAATTGGTAGACACCCATTTTTGTCAGAGCTTTGTTTTTAATAGCCTTGTGCGCTGTTAGAACAAACAGTGTTGTTTTAGAATAAACATATACATATTTTTAACATTATTAAAGTTTTATTTAACAAATTAATTAGTTACAAGTTCATCTGTTTTAGACTTACGAATTTTTAAATCGATGCTAGGTTTTTGGAGCAAAACGTCTTTGAATTAATAATTTAATCTAGAAAATTCGAAGTTAACAAAACAAAGAAAGTCCATATTTAGAGGTCAATGTCAAAAGTGTTGATCTCTCTACTATGATTATCTAGTGGTTATCAAATAACAGTATTGTATTTTGTACCTCAAACTACCCCTCAGACAACTCAGACAACCATTAATGCAACGGAAATAGCATGTTTTACAGACATTCATCTGCATTCTTGAACATTTAAGCAAAATTAACCCTAAAACAAAATGTTAATTTCTATAGGACTGGACTGATATTTATTTCTTAAAAGGATTATTTGTGTATACATACAACTTCATAAACAAATGCAACTGGTTCAATGTCAGTTATATAACAGTCCAAGGAAAAGTAGTTTTTCTGAGTGTACTGAATGTCACAAAGCTTTTAGTACTATTTTTAAGTAAACCGTCTTTTTATCATGATTTTGTCAAAAAACTTTAGCTATAAAGCATTTTTTATTCTGAAACTATGCCATGCTGTATTCTTTAAGGTAACTCTTGTTTCAAATGTTTCGGATATTCATTAACATACATTACAACAATATAAATGGTACTGAACCCCAGGTTTTTGTCTCAGAATATAAAAACGAACACTACAGGTATTGATTAGATACACTGAGACATATATGTGTTGTCATTATCACTCTGCCTTATAATCAGAAACTTGTTTTTATAGGAATGTAATAAAATGAAAACTTATTTAATTGGGCTAATTAAATATGTAGCAACGTCTAAAGCTTACACACATTAAAACAGCTTTAATTAAGATTTCTTAGCAATTTAGAGTATTAACCTAAAACTTGTGGGTACACATCACGTTGTGACGAGGCTTTAACAAACAAGTTATGCATGATATAAATTCCTTATTGTTTTATCACAGCATATAGATATCTGTATAATAATAACTGTGATATGTAAGAAGAAATTAATGAAATAATTTATTACTCGTTTATGCTTCAATAAAAATGTAATTAAATGCAAGTTTTACATGTATCTTTACAGTGTTAACAAATTTATCAACAGCGACGCCAACAACTCAGTCATATGACGTCACAACATGTAAAATTTACAATATTCAGAATTCTTTTGCTGCGCCATACATTTTAAATGTGTTATTTTGTTGTGAAGTGACTTGACACTAACCATGAAACAAGTCAATTAGATATAGAATGATTATTTACGTTTAATATTACTCACTCATTGCAAAACTGTTCATTTTCAAAATCAGTTATTAATAACATACTTACAGTTGAGACCCTTAATGCAGACCATAAGGAAGATGAGAAAAACATGCCAATCGGAATAATTGTAGGGATATCAACTGGCATTTTGACTGTAGGAATAGTTGTTACTTTTGTCCTACTCAGAAAAGTCATCTTAAAAGGTAGTTAATTTAAAATATATAATGACAGTAATTATTTTATGACATATCTTTCAAAATTATAGAAAGTATATGTTATTTTCATCATTTATGTTTTATTTTCATAGCGTCTTGACGGTTCTAAAATAAAACTAGAGGCATATAATGACGCCATCAAAACAAGCATGATGTATAGATGAAAACCATAACACACTTGTTGTGTGCACAATAATGATATTTTACGGTCCCCTATTGACCTGTTTCAAATAATTTAATTCGTGTTTATATATGACTGTACCATTTTGCAGAATGTTTTCATTGAATTGTATACGTATACTAAATATAAGATCTTTTTAATATTTTTACTAAAAAAATATATGATGATAGTTAAGTTTTCAGTTTCGTATCGTTTTCAGGGCCCATTGTGCCTCAGAAGTGCTATCAATTTTATTTCTCAAAAATGTTTTATCGTTGGTATCTTTTTACAGTTTCTTAACACATTTGCCATATAGATATGAGCTAACTTTTACATCATTTTCTAAGTGGAAATTTGTAAAGTTATGGTAAATTAGTATTTTGAATGGAAGTCAAAACACTGTATTGTTTACAATTTACTACCTTTAGGACACATTATTGCACATTTTGCGCTACTTTCCTCAGCTGCTAAACATCAAACACGCTCTAGATATATTAATATTTTTTTAAACACATGTTTCACCATTTCTAAAGAATTAAAAAATGGATTTCTGAGGCATAATGTGCCTTTAATGAATATTCTTAATATAATGCTAGATTTAGAACGTAATATATTCTTCAATTCAAAATAAAATGATTTAAATTAATGAAGCGAAACTACAGAGAAGTTATTCTGCAAATCAGGTCTACTATATTCAATTTGCTAATATATAAATATTCTCTTTTTTGTATTAAGGAAGATCACAGGCTGTTCCAGAATCAAGATCAGATTTTCAACAATCTTTACCGTGAGCAATTCAAATTATGCGATCTTTTATTTTTTGTGTTTGTGCTCCTTTTATAATTGAATTTATTTACAAAACAGAGTTTATTTTTTGAACTTCTGATTACGTCATTTGCATATACATAATTATGATAATGAATATTATAAATTGCCTGAATAAAGTAAGAAAGTTTATATTAAGACCTTTTGAAAGCTGTATCTGTACTAGTGTAGTGTATGTCATCTCTATGAATATAAAAAAGGAACAGTGTTACAGCCAGCAAGTTAAGCGTGACAGCAACTTTTCATCCTTAATGCATAATGTTGAATTACTAATGGTTTAATCTGAACACGCAAAATGTAAAATAAAAGGTAGTTATTCACCAAGAAGTGATTAAGGCATGGATTTGATTAAATCAGTTTTCATAAGTTCCCCATTTTCAACATATATGATATTGTTTTATTTACTAACATGATTAAATTGAAAGATATGATAAGCGTAAAGTATAACATTTTCCCAGAAAATAAGGTCGTCGTTGTCGATATTTGTGAAAATTAAATATCTTGTAATGGTTTTACTTTCAGAATATCGAATTACGAAGGTCTTCAACTAGGCACATTTGAAACATCGACTTATGACTCAATAAAACATACATTGTGAGGATCTAAGAGTCAAAGTAATTGCTATGGAGAGCAAGAAAAAATGTACTGTATAGTTAACTGTATACTTTTAGAAGAACGCTAAACGAAAATGAGCTCATGTGTACTCTTACGTGATTTTATGTGTGAATTCTGAATTATTAGTATAAATATAAGTTAATATAGTTTGATAATTTTCAAATGCTGCAGATAAAACCTTTATAAAAAGAATGGTTAACATTTACAAATAGCTAATGTGTAGCCAAAATGTAATAAAAATCAATAAAATACTGATTTGACAGAATTGTCAGTGAAAACAGAGAAAGTAAGAGTACTTATTTTTAGAAATTGATAAGTTTTATACTTTAACTCTGTGAAGACAATGTGGAGTAGCTATTAATATGGACAATATCTGGTCTGTTTTTATCTTAATTTTTCTCTTTCGATCTTAAAGTTTCATTTTCATTTTTCAAATCAAGAAAATAAAATTATGTGAAAGGCGGGTATGACAGTTTGGGGACCATTAGTTTAAACATATTTTATTTCGAACATTTGCACATACAAGATTTACATACAATAATGAAATAATACAATGCTGAAATAAGATCAGATCCGAAAGCATAAAATGCTTATAAAGGACTTTTCCTCAAATAGGAACAATTACCATAAATTTTGTCGGGTTTTGAAAATGTTTGAAACATTAAATTTTAGGTAGAAATACTAGTAGATTTAAAAAAAAAAACGAAAAAGATTCGTCACTATGACAAATTAGCCACCTACAAACAAAAACGGGCATTGAGTAGAAGTTTCTATCTGTAAGATGTAGGAATAGGGACTTAATAGATTAGAAGAAATAATTTTCGTGTTAATAATTGTATAAATTTTCCGAATTTCTTGATTTGAGATACACAAAGAAACTTTATTTTTTAAGAAAAGGAAAAGAAGAGAATCTATTCAAGGACTAATTTGGAGGAGCAATGTAAATGAAAACCAAAGACTATGAAAATCGTTTCCTGTCTCGGATATAGAGGTTCCCATTAGACCTCTCGTTGCAGCTCATTAAAAGACAAACGTTTAGTAGAACCAGATACAAATATAGAAGCTTCATATTTGAAAGCATCTTCAACATCTTGAGTTGTATTACTTATTGAAGTGAGAGTGTTCATAGGCTTTTCGAAGTAATCGTCAGGAACTTCCTTATCATAGTTTTCTTTCTAGAGAAGACTGGTTGCCGAAATAGTTGTTTAATAAGTCGGATTTTGATTTGTTATTATATGAAAATCTTTCAGTAACTGGGTGAGAGATTGTTGGAGTTGTTTGCTTTTCAGTCGGTGATATGAGTGATTTAATGAGTTTCCACCAGTCTCTTTGTGATGTGTTGTCTGATGCAAGAGAGTGTGCAAGTGTCTTGATGTGATTACGTTTGGCCGTGTGAATAAGTGAGATGATTTTATTACGTATTTTTGAATGAGTGCCAGTGCAACGGATTTTGGGTTTGTTTGGCTGTGTTATAAAGTTTTTTCGTTTACGAATAAGCTGTTTGATTTGTGTCGTAATCCATACTGAATTAGTCGGTTTTACAATTTTTGTTCTTATAGGTATGTACTGCTTTGACAGTTTGAGAATTTTGTTGCGTTTTTATCTATATCGGTGTTTATATATTGATCCCAGTCAGTTTGCATAATACTTTGTTTAAGAGTGTGGTAGTTGCCGAGATCATATAACCATATAAAATGATTTAGGTCTATGAAAAGGAAAAAAAGAGCACAAATATGGCAGTGACAGCGAATATTTTAGTTTAAAACTGATTCCGTAACACCTGATGTTATCACTCGGTGACTGCAAGAAACAAGAAAAAGATATAAAAACAGATGCTGACGACGCGGTAAAATATGTAGGTTCGTTTATAAGTTGTTGAAGGTGAAATTGTTGACAAATTGAAAGAAGTTTGCATGATAATGTCGGATGAAATTGATTAAAGTTAAAGTCTCCAGTTACAATTATATCTGTTATATTTGATTCATCTGCCAAATTAAGTGAATGTTGGCTAATGGTTGTATAATTATGAGAGCAGGTCGATAAAAAGTACAAAACAGGGTACGTTTAGATTTAGATAATAAAAGCTCCACCCATACACATTCTATATTTCAGGTTCAAGATCCCACCGCAGTTTGTAAAATAATGAATTCTTAATGTATATAGAAACTAAACCATGAATGTCATCAATCCTGTAATTTCTTTCTGGGGAATAAAAAACATGGTATAGATATATCAGAATTGGAAACACTAGGATAAAGCCGCATTTGACTCCAGGAACATACTTAATTTAGTGGCTAGAATTTCTATTGTGCCAAGCAGGCTTTGGACATTATATTGTAGTACTGATAAACAGGACCTTGACGACACTAGACTTACTAGATCCAAAGACATAGCCGACGTAGTAGACAATGATGTAGTTGAGGAATTTTTTAATGATGGACCAGGATTGATTCGAGTGAATATCTCCAGATAAATTAAGAAAAATATGCAGCCATTAAATGCACATCTAATGAAATCCAATGCATTCCATTTACGATAGTCCGAATAGATTTCCTAGGAATAAAGGAACAGTTAACATAAAGGGTGAAAAAGTGTACGAACAAAACAAAAAGTAAAGAAAACATGACTTAATATATGACAATTTAAAAATAAATTAACAGTTTAAAGGACCAAAAGGAGCATTAAAGTCATAAGCTAAGAAAACAATGTGCGTACGGTTCGCGTAGCTCGTGATTTTTAAAAGGATCATTTTAATTAATGGTAACTTACAAACTTTATGATACTGTACTATATATATTATCATTATAAAAAAAACAGTTACATTAGCTTATTAAAAAGTTACTTACAGTTATTGGTCAAATATTGTACTTCAATGGTTTGTTAGAAATATATAATAATATATAATAACATTTTAAATTCTTGTTAAATAACACAAGAGGAAAAGTAAATAGGGACAATTTGTAAAATGTACTCATTTGTATTAAAATTATTTCAAGGAAATTATTTCTTGAATAAAGTCACAAAACTATTGCCATTTCTTTACATATGTTTATAATTATATATAAGCTATTCTCAAAAATATGGCTTGTATATTGTTTTAGTTATCAAAACTTTATTTCATTGTATTTTTGATGTTATCTCAATATTATTTCATTTTACATTTATTTTTACAAGCAGGAATACATAAACAATGCAAAAATACACAATTATATACATGCTCACGCACTCACATACAAGCACACATAAATGCAAGCACGCACACTCATGCATACATACATACATACATACATGCAGCGTACATACATACACATATGCATATATACATGTAAAATACACATATATACGTACATTAATGAGTAAAGTTTTAACGTACCCCTGAAAAACATTTATTTATAATTCTAATGGGTTATTAATAGATCATTTACATAAAAAGATATGATCCTGATTTCGAAGAAGATAAATATTATCTTAATAAACATTGTGAATCTATTATATATTATAAGATGGTATACCACATTGCAATTTATATTCAATTTTAGTTTAATAAAAAGAAAAAAAGAACAGCGAAGTAACGTGGTAAAACGTACGAACCTGACAAATCGAGTAAAAATCTTAATATGATATACTAACTCTTAAAATATATACTGTATTTCTTCCATACGATAATAACAATATTCTAACATGCTTTATGTATATCTTAATATGACAATGATGTGATTAAATGACCTTTATTTACTTTTACAAAACTGTAATGTCAAAAAAAAGAAACATTGATAGTTTATTTAGTAGATCAGCAATATAAATATGAACATACAAATACATATAATTACATAATTGTCTACATTATAAGTCCATAGTGCAGTTTAGATATAGAACATTGGAACCGTTAAAAATGTAAATAGTTTTGGAATGTCATGCACGTTATTCACGGGATTGCCCGATTTGTTTCGAGCATAGCATTAACTATTCGATAGTATATGAATAGAACTGAGATAAGTCGCGTTTTGAAACTAAACGATGTATTGCCTGTGTGTTGCTTTTGGCGATAATCGTTCCATCAGTGGTTTAAGTTGTCGTGCTTCATACAGAAGTTCCGATCTAGTTTCAGTTAAATCTTCATTAACAAAGGTTTTCGGGTGGCCTTTAGTTTTCAGGAGAGCTCGCTAATTGAGAATTTTGTCTTTTGAACGACGAGAGGCGAACTTGACTAAGATATCGCGAGGTTTACCAGAAGATCGAGGTTTACCAAGACGATGTGACAACGCAATTTCATTTTAGCTTAAGTCAGCATCAATGCTTGAGCTCATATCAAGTATGAATTGTTCGGTGTTTTTATCTTTATTTTTTTGAACTCCAGTGATACGCAGATTATCACGACGACTGTATTGATCTGCAGCGTCGGCTCTTAGTTTAAATACGTCAATTCGGGTTGTTAAGGCTAGGTTCGTTGCTTTAATGTCCTCGTTTTCCTTTTGAGGGGTAAACATTTGTAATTGCAAGCCGTCAACAACTGTTTTCACTATTGATTGGACTGATGCATTTAGAGCTTAGCATACTTCTGCTTTTAATTCATTCTTTAAGAGCTGAAGCAATTGATATTACTGCCTCTTCATCGACAGCAAGAGTAGCTTCTGGAGAGGACATTACTTGAACGTTTTCTAGTTGGAAGTAATCAGGTGAATTGAAGTTATTTTTATTATTCTTGGGCGCAAAAAGGTCTTCTGGTGACGATAAATCTATTTTATTACTGTTTGAAGCTTAAAGGTATATTATCTATATTGCTCATAATAAATGTATCGTGCCTTTTGTCGGGAAGTACACTTTCCACGATTTTTGAACATAGTTAATAACTCACAAAATGCACTTTATTTCACTTCAATAGATAATGATATTGAAATAGAGTATCAAATATTCATGTTTATTACCATTTAATTGTTCAATTTATCTTCACATGCTTCTAGAAGTTTAGAGTCCAAAACATTTTCTTCGTATTCAAACATTTTTCAGCTTCTCAAAGGTCCTAAATAGCTAATAAATCATAGTAAATTTGTATACTGAAAAACATGCCGCCTTCTTAATGGAAGTCGCTTGATTTTTCAATTTTGCGGTCATTGGAGAATTGTGAAATAAAGCCGAGTCATTGTCCTTCATTGTTTGCAAAATAAATCGATTTTGAACAAAAAGGGATACTGAGCTTCACAAGGCTATGTCGCATTCAATAAGATGATACCTTTTCAGTTTTCATGATATGGTATATCAATATTTTAAGTTGTAGGGGAGTTATTATTAACAATTAGTAAAAAGATTGGTCATGATTACTAGATGACCCCTATTGATTATGAGGTCACTTTGCCAAAGGTCACAGGGGCCTTGACTTGAAACAGTTTGTCCGTCCAATAACTTCAGATCTCTTTGACCAACAGTCTTCATATTTGGCTTGAAGGTTTGTCATGATTATTAATTAGCCCCTATTCATTTTGAGGTCACTGGATCAAAAGTCAAGGTCTCAAGGGTCTTGACTCTAAAAAGGTTATCCGCCCAATAACTTAGGATTCCTTTGACACAAAGTCTTCATATTAAGTATATATATATTGATCATGATAAGTAGATGACCCTTATTGATTTACAGCTTGCCAGATCAAAGGTCAAGGTCACAGGGACCTTCACTAAGAAAAGTTTGTCCGTCCAATAACTTCAGATCTCTTTGACCAACAGTCTTCATATTTGGCATGAAGGTTAATCATGATTATTAGATAACCCCTATTCATTTTGAGGTCACTGGATCAAAAGTCAAGGTCAAAAAAGCATTGTCTCTAAAAAGGTTATCCGCCCAATAACATGGGATTCCTTTTACACAGTCTTCATATTAAGTATATATATATATATATATATTCATCATGATAAGTAGATGACCCTTATTGATTTACAGCTTGCCAGATCAAAGTTCAAGGTCACAGGGGCCTTGACTTAGAAAAGCTTGTCCGTCCAATAACTTTAGATTCCTTTGACCAAACGTCTTTAAATTAAGTATATAGATTTACTAGAATTATTAGATAACGCCTATTGATTATGAAATCATCAGGTCAAAGGTCACAGGAGCCTTGAATGAGAAAAATATGTCCTCCAAGTAACTTAAATTTCTTTATACTTGACATGGATGTTAGTAACGATTTTAAGATGACCCCTTAATATTTTGATGTCACTGCCACAAAGGTCAAGGTTACAGGTGTCTTGTCTTAAAGTATTTTGTCCGCCCAATAAATTCAGATTTCTTTCATGCACAGTCTTCTTATTTGGCTTGATGTTAATCATGATTATTAAATGACCCCTAATGATTTTAAAGGTTACTTGGTCAAAGATCAAGGCCACTGCGGCCTTGGGTAAAAAGACTTGTACGCCCAAAAAATTAAGAGTCCTTTAACCCAAAGTCTTCATATTTAGTATATAGATTGGAAATGAATAGTAGATGAGCCCTATTGATTTTGAGGTCACTAGGTCAAAGGTCAAGGTCACATGGACCTTGACTAAAGAAATTGCCCGCCCAATAGCATAAGCATCCTTTGACCTACAGTTTTCATATTTTGCATGGAGGTTAGTCATGATTATAAGATGATCCCTTTTGATTTTGAGGTCACTGGTTAAGGTCAAGGTCTGCCTATTTGGCATGGATGTTCGACAAGACCATTAGCTGACCCCTATATATTGTGAAGTCAATGGGTTAAAGGTAAGGGTCACAGGGCCTTTAGTTCAAAAAGCTTGCACTCAACTAATTGCTTTATAATCCTTTGGTCAATAAAGGTTGGTTATGACTGGTAGATTACCCCTATTAATTTTCAGGTCACCTGGTCAAAGATCAAGGTCACAAGGACCTTGACCAAAAAACTTGCCCGCCTAATAGCATAAGCATCCTTTGACCCACAATTTTCATATTTTGCATGGAGGTTAGGAATGATTATAAGATGATCCCTTTTAAAAATAAGTTTGTCCACCCAATAACTTAAGAATCCTTTGACCTATAGTCTTCATATTTGGCATGGAGATTAGTCATGACTATTAGACATATCTAGGGGCCATATTACTTAACTAGACTTATGAAAAAATACTAATTAAAACAATCTTCTTCCTGAAACTACATGACTTAGAACATCAATATGATGTTGACGTCATTTCCTGTTAACAAGTTACCTGATGAAAAGTTTTAAGGCGAAACTCTTTTTTACAATACTTTTTAAAATAAAACTGGAGGTGATATTCATATTCAAACTAGCATAAAGAATATGAAGAATTTAGCATTACTTAGTGAGTTTCTGTTAAAGTTATATATAATTATACTGCATTCATGGGTTACAAAATTGCCAAAGTCCTATAAAAAACAAAACGTGTTTTTGCAGAATTTTGAGTGTAAAAGTTTGACCTTCGTTGTGATCAAATGGTTTGCTTATATTTTTGTAAAAAGTATGATATATTCTAGTAATGGATCTCAGGTGAGCGATATAGGCTCATCATAGCCAGTTTGTACTTCAATTGCTTATGTTCATATACATGCGACAGATACAGATATGTACATCTTTGAACAATGATAGCTGGTAGATAACAACAGAATAAAGAGTTATATCATTTATCTTATTTATATCAGATGAAGAAGTGAGCGATGGAGTACTTAAATCATCTAGTTGTTGCTTTCATTCTTTTACCAAATATAGGTATCTGTCATTTGTTTTATTATTTGTACACTAGTTTTACACACATTTTGTCAAAAATATTTTTTTTTATTTCGTCGTTCTTAGCAGGTTTTGTTGATATATTTGCTATTGATTCTTAAATGAATCAATTCTATATACAGTATTGTTAATTTGCTGTTATAATTGTGAAATTTAATATAAGATCGTATAGGTTGAACTGCTGTTAACTCGCAAGATAGAATAAAGTTTTGTACTAAACAATTTTAATAACTCATAATTTATCATTATTCATATAATATTATTGATTAAAATAAAATGAAGCGATTGTATAATATGTTTCCACTAGTCTGTTCGTCGGGGTAAATATTTCCAGAATCAATCATTCACGTTGTATCTTCCATGTTTGTGGCAAAGAGCACTGTACTAGGCAACAATAGTCGCTTAAAATGTATGAAACATGTGATTATTGGAACTTCTCGAACTTTGAACTTGCAAATCGAAAAGAAAACAACAGTAGCACATATCAGGCAATATAGAAAAGAAGGTTTGGGTGCAAGATAAAGAAAAATGCGGTTACACACAAAGCCAAACAAATACTTTTTATCCCGATACATTATTTTGATCCAGGATTTGTGTTTATTTTATTTTCTTAACCTCATGATTTCTATAGTCTAAGAACTATTTCATCACATTAGCAAAGTTCAGGACTTGTTTAAGTATTTGAGAACGATGGTTAAATATATGCTACACCAAAAAAAAAAAGAAACAAAAGTTGGAAATTAAAAGTGTACGAACTCCTTTAGTCTGAGTCAACATAGGTACAGACAGAACATTGTATTACATAATTTTTTTACAAAAGATTAAAGATATACTATGCTCAAATTTGATATCATAAAATATTGATAATTGCTTTACAGTCTCTTTGTAAATATGAAATAAACATGTTTTGACTTCACACAAAGTTAATATGTCATGTTTAAAACGCTACACACATAGATCGTTACAATATGGATATAATTATAGTGTCGTTAAAAAGATGGCAGTTTTTTAAAGAAAAGACCATCTTTATTTGTCCTGTATTAGAGAACGTGACTTTCAATATAGTTTATGATTCACTTTTTATTTAAATTAGACATATTCAGTAAGAATTTCTCAGGTTTTTATAAATTTCTTCGATTAAAATATTTTACTCAAAGATGAGCATAATATATCTTTAATGATATAAAGTTGAAAAGCGGCTTCTAGGCCATTATGTACCTCTTCAGACAATTATCGCATAATGGCGAGCAGCAACCATTATTAATCTCTAAATAAAAGCATAATTACGCGGAAAGAAAGGCGTTTTAATGCGCAGCAATAGACGTCATAAGGTAAAGAAAAGGTGGTATATTGTCAAACAATAAGCATAATAAAATAAAGTGAATAAATTTGTTATAACTTACAAGAGACGTGGTAGCGCAAACAAATAAAACATTTAAACCTACACAAAAGGAGTTTATAAGAAAACAAAAACGTATAAAAGCAAAACAAAAACGTTATAATGTCAAACAAAGTGCGCGATAACGCAAAAAGGCAATAACGGTAATCAAATTACATAGATTAGCGTCACAACGCCTTTTGTTTTGCGTTATAGCTCCAGAATTGCGCAATTACCACTTTTTTCGCGTAGATACGCCTCTTTTTTGTCTAAGTCATTTTATTAAGTGTTTTATTGAATAATGACGCATTTTTATTAAATGTACCATGATACTATTAGGCTTTCGTATATTTCCATTAAGCGATTATAGGTAACTACCCAACTAGTCAATAGTATAATGAAACATAACATCAATATTGTGAATTCCATTCTTAACAATAAAGGTATCACCCATTCGATAATTTGAATCGCCTTGTACGTCCATCAGTCAGTATGTCCGGAATCGTGTCACCCCTTAATGATTCTCATGTCATAAATACTTACCATGTGTCGCAAAGACATATTAGTAGTTTCAGGTCTCACGAAGAGAACAAAGCCGAAAATGAAGTATCAAAGCTTTAATCAATTACTTTGCCATTACGAAATTACTGTCAACAAATGTTATCCGTCATAAGTAACGCATAAGAGCTAGGTATGTATCTTAAAATTTAAGATCATACATAAGGGCCAAATGAATAATTGTAATTAAACTGATTTAAAAATGTTATATTTGTATTTCTAAATTGAAAGAAAAAATTGTATTTGTTGCCTGTATCTACGGAACCATTCGTTATTCTTTTTTTTTTCAATGAAGTAAAGAAAATATATGCATTACTCATAGGTAGGAGATGGAAACAAAACATTTGCTCGCCCATTTCGTTTATTGATCGCTACCTTTGCTGATAAATGAAAAATATGTACATTTAGTTAGGTGAAAGTCTAAGTGTATACTAATTTAATGGTTTGCAATGGTCTGTGTTTTTGAGATTTTAATTTGTTTTTATCTTTATAATTACAAGAGACATTTTCCGGTACCAATTTTCCCTTCAACTTAAGTTTTATCACCCATACATATATACATTTTGTTTATCATTTTTATCTGTTTGATACGCGACAAGATAGTTCTGTTTAAACACTTAACCCGTATTTTCATGTGTGATTATCAAACTTACAATTTATCTACATCAAAGCTTATAACAATAATTTATTAAACTTAAAAATGTGTAAATGAATAAAATGGTTATGTTAATATGTTAAAAATGATTCGACGATTTTCCCTTAATTGACACGTTTTTGTCGCATTTTGTTATGAAATGGATTCTTTGTTTTGAGGTGACATAATAAATAATAACACAAATATGAAGTGAAAAAGAATTGTGTCGTTTCAAAAATAAACAGAAGTCCTTAGGGATCACCTATTAATAATGTCCGACATTTTCTTCTCTTAAACTTAAAGTCAAATCATCTTTTTTCGTAAAAACTTCAAACGAATACAATTGCAAAGTTTTTCAATGATTTAAAACATGCAGCTATTTCTTTGCCAAGACAAACACTATTAAGAAAAACCTTTATAATCGATGTACTGTTTACAGTTTATGGTTCTGGTCCATAGCACTTTTCTTTGCTTTCATGTATCCAACAGATCCAATAACATGAATTCGAGGGAGCGTTGTCTCATTTCTATAGAAAATAGGAGAAAAAACCGACAAGGAAAGATTGCACAGCCTCATAAATAGCTAGTTTTCTGAAAAAAATTATTTAAACATAAGTTTCCAATACATACGCATTTTGAGAATTCAAAACAATAAACATCAAAGATGAAAAACGTATAGAAATAAAAAAAAGTACAGAATTTTAAGTAATTTTGACACAAAGTATTTTTTCTTTTAATTACTTGCTTGAATTCTATGCATAGATTAACATAAACTACATTTAGACACGGTTTGCCTTTTATAAGTGTTCGTATTACTTTGATAGTATCAATACCAGATAATATTTAATCATATAAATCAAACTCTATTTATATAACAAAGGTAGATAATGTTTCCATTATTAAATATCTTACGAATGCAAATCAAAACAATGTGAATAAGATGCAAATAGATAGTAAGGTAAATACTGGCATACTTGATAAGAAGCGCATGGTAATCAGTGTCATTCAAGAACAAGTTAAATAGTGTACTAAGTAAATACTAACCAACATAAACTTTCTTTTCATGTATTGGCACGAAAGGGTCACATTGAAGGTATGAACACACCATCATATGTTTCTTGATTCAAATGTCACAGGGTGAGAAAAATGTGCAGCCTGATCGTCACTCGAACCCAGGACCCTCGGAATACCGTACCTTGGCCCTACTGACTGAGCTATCCGGTCGCTTACACACTTTCTCTTCTCCCCTAAAGTGAGAACAGTTCTGAACTGTGACACTTGCAGCATTAATTTTTAAATCTACTAATTTAAAAGATATTGACTTTAAATATGATACACGTTGCCTAGATTATAATAAATATACAAGGCGTATAATTCTGACATAGATTTTGACTGAATTATAGCCTTTTTTGGAGCTATTAGTTTTGCATGAAACATATTTCTTTAAAACTACTTAAGTTTATTATTTGGATCTTCATAAGTTTATGTCGGATCTCAATTTAATTTTGAGTCACTAACAAAAACTGATAAGTTAAGCATACATTTTGATATAATGGTCAATAGTGGTCTTAGAAAATTTGCCGTGAAGGTTTGCATGTAACGTCAATTTTCAAAACTACTGAAAGTAATTGTTTGAATCTAAATACCTATATTATGACATAACTAGAGGTCACTATCAAAGGCACACATTTTGATTGAAATATGTCCCTTTTTGAACTTTGAAAATGTTGATTAAAGTTGTACATGCAAAATCTATCTTTTAGAATGAAAAAGTTGTTCAATTGTTCACTTGAAACTAAAATCGTCTCCTCTTGATCATAATTGAAGTTCATATACCAGACTTTATACAAGAAAATTCTTTAACAAAGACCCATTATTATGTCATGTATTTTAATGCGATCTTCCTTTTTGTTAATGTCTTTGTTATCAAGGCTCTTGATAACACATTTAAGCATTGAAAATAGTCGAGCGCACTATCGCACTGACAGCTCTTGTTATGAAATGCTGGTTGTTTAAACGAAATATTAATTCGTTTTAACGAAGTATTAACTTGTTATTACGAAATTAAAAAAAGGTGTCACGAATGTCAGTTTATGGGCACCGTAGTAAACATATTGAAACTGCCATTTATATAATAATACGGTCTATTTTTATAGACTTTGACGAACATATTTGTTTTGTATGCATTCCTTTTCAATCATTGTTTTAAAATGTTGTTTTTGCTATTACAGTAACTGGTGTGAGATTTTCAATTTCTAAGGAGAGAGTGCTTTTAGATAGTACAGGCACCTTAACAATGACATGTAATATCACAGAAACAGACATTAAAACTTTGCACCATATCGAAATCGGAAAAGTTTCTTCAACTTCAAATGCGGAGCAAGTCCCTATTCAATGGAAGACATTAGCGGAAATGGAGTTAGGACAAACCGAGAGTCCTATATTGAGTCAAGGTATCAATGCAAGTGCAAAAGATTATGTTGCTGGGGGATCATGGGATTCAACAACACCTACTAACACGTATCTTACATTGTCTATGAACATGGAGAAGTTAGTTTGTGAGGATGCCAGAGCGTATAGATGTTCATTGTTGTATGAAAGTTCCACTAAAGGAACTGTGCTTGAAAGCCCTACAAAAGGAATTTTAGTTTCAACTGACATGAATGCTACTCCCTCGGCCTTTGGTAAGGTTAACATTCGTTCTTTCTCGTCATTTCACTTTAAAATAAAAAAGCAAGATTGAGAACAAAATGCCAGTTACTGATTAAAAAAGAAAAAAATCAGTTTAGATCATTCGTTTGTACATTTTGTTTGTTTGTTTGATTGAGTTTTACGGCACACTGACACAGAATAGGTCAAATGGCGACGTTCCAGCTTTACTGGTGGAAGAATACCTCAAGTGCCTTTTTTTGTATTATTTTAGGCATGAACAGGCACCTGAGTAGAACCATCGACGTTCCGTAAGCTTGCTGGAAAGCTTTCTCACATGAAAGAATACAAAGTGCCTGTCGAAATTCGAACCCACAGCGGTGAGGGGCACGTGGTTTGAAGTCAACCACCTTATCCACTCGGCCACAGACGCCCCTCATCGGTACATACCGGGTGTTGTAAATTGTAAACTCTCACTATCTCGGCTCATGACAGAGGAATATCGGAGTTGTTTAAAAGGTTAAAACCTAGATACAAAGAGACAGCATGGTCGAGTGGTTAAAGCATCGGACTTGTAATCAATGTACTGCTAACAGCGGATTTACATCGTATTACGGGAAGGCCGTTAGCAAGAAACTCTACAACCATTATTTAGCACTTGTTAGATTCGTGAATTTATTCGATTATAAATGACCTTATAGATTAACGCTTAAAACTAAAACAATTCTTAAAAACCAAATAAGTTAATATAATAAGAATAATAGAAAACGTTTGCTTCATTTATGTTTGAAAACCAGCTTTATATAAGTATGTTGTATCAGTCATATAACAGAATAAAGTTATTCTCTCAGATAAATCGCATTTGTATGAACTTATTTAATAATTGACAAGTAAATCTTTAAAAAAATCATGTATCCTGATTGAACAAAAAAAACCTTAAATTGAAAGTTACATATTGTGTAATTTCTGTAAGAGCGTTTTCAGCAAATATTGCTTAAAACAGCCATTAGATATTTCAAAACTGTGTACCTGCAAACATTATGTGCATGGAAAACAAAAAGACAATTCAATAATTATTATTGCATTAATTCCCTTTGGTGAAAATTATGTATTGTGCCATTCTTTATTTTTCAATTATTTGCAATAAATAAACATCAACTTATAATATGATATCCTCATAATAAACGCACAATTTTCCATGCAAAATTAATGCACCTTTTCAAATACATGTAGTTGTACAATTCATTTGGACATATAATGTATGTTCGGTGCATATTCTTCTTTGTGTAAGTTAATATTTATGTCAAATTACCAATAATAAATAAACGTTGTGATCAATGTCCGGATAAAATAATGGCGCAAGCTCGAAATCATCGCTAAGTCTACTAAATGTCACATGTCATCAGCACAACTTAAGTAATTTTAAAATATTTTTATGTACTGTTTGCATGGTAAATCAGAAAGTATATAAACATTTTTATGTTGGATAATACTTTTTTTATATATTTCAGTAAAACCACAAGTTACATCATTAAATGTAACGAAGAATGGTTTTAAAGTACAAGGAATATCACCATCTGACATGGACACTGCTGAGGTAGGAGATGAGTTGGAACTAACTTGTACTGCTAATATAGGAAGCTTACCAGGAACTATTATTCGATGGCATAAAACATCAGAAACTTCTCAAAATGATGACTTTATTGGCTATCAAGCACCACAAGGAACATATGACGAGGGCACTGCAGTCAGTGACAATCAGTGTGGATATACACGAGTAGCTACAACCAGATACAACATAACAGCAGCTGATGCCAATAGGGATAACAATCTGGCATTAGAGTGTTATGTTACAGTTAGTGGAGATCCGTACGGGAACTCTTTTACCTCAGAAAACAACCCAAGGTTCTACATTGATGTCAGTAAGTAATCAACAGTTTTATCACTTACTTCATTTACCTTGTGATTGAAATAACAAGTTATACACTGAAACATTCTCTACCTTTTCAATTAGTCCATTTAACCACTTTAACAACACATTTAGACATTAGCAAAATAATTCTTCTCGTAAAGAATTCAGATATTGCATGGATTTACTACTTTAAATATTCTTATTCATTTCAAACTTGGAATACTTGATGACTTTCAAAGGCGAAAAATGCTGACAAATAATTATATTAAAAATGTAAATGGCTGAAATACAAATATCGGTTACATTAGGAAATGGTTTTAATATATCATATTCAAGAACTGCCGAATCATTCTTCAATGATATTACAAGGAAAACTTTAAGGGGTTTTTAGGTTAAATATGGAGCAAAATTCTGTCAAAATCTGTGGGTGATCTCAAAGACATTTGTGAAGTTACAAGCAAAATATTAGTGTTTGTAGTGTATTCAAGTATTCAAGAAAGTTAACTCTTCCAGTCTTGTATGTAAAACTTGAGTACATAAGTTGTCGTTCTTTAATACTCTTTTTAATTTGGAGATTATTAGTTGGATAATAAACGTGACCTTAAATGGTGTTTATATTATTAGTTAGATTATCCAAGAATATCGGCTTAGAGCCGGAGTATATTACAGTGTTCATGAAAAACTAATGAAGTACAAGATGTTGCACCCAAATCTTCAACAAAAGTGTTATGTCAACGCTTCGAAAAGTTTAGCTAAAAAATTCTCAGTTGGAATCTCAGCTCCAATCTGAAATTTGCTCGACACACAAACTTAAATTGAGATTTTTTTCTCAGTTTAGCTTGTATTAAGATAATTTAATCTTTAAGATTAGAGATTGTTCAAAGATATTTTGAGACAGAGGTTTGGCTGTCTCAGATTAAGTCTCAGTGAAGCTAGATGTTAATTCTTAGAGATATATTTCGTTATGTTTGGTTATTGTTACCGATAAACATAGTTTATCCTTGTTTGGGGAAAAAAGAGAAAAAAACAAGCATTTATCATAGAAATGACAGCAATACATAAGTTCTTTAAAGGTAAGAGCCCCATCAACTTCTGAAAGATCATTGGCTGTTCAATTTATCATTGAATGAATGTATGACATGAATTTACTTAAATCTTTTGAGTTCTAAGTTTGTCTGTAGCACAATAAAGTGTTAAGTTTCCTGTGCTAGTAAAGAAATTAGGTTTATACAGATTATCAAAATATCCAATTTTCTCAGGATGAATATATATAAATAATGTTTCAACTTCTCTATTTGGAAAAGTTCCAAGTTCTTTAAAAGTGATCCCATGAAACAGTTTTAGGAACGTAAAGACAGACGGATTGACAGACACTGTAAGGGTAAATCTTTGAACTTCCCTTGTAAAAAGAATACAACATTTTAAAAGAAAAGTTCTTAAACCAGATAGGAGATAACTATTTCAAAAAGATGCTTGACTTATAAACATTTCCATACATGATGTACATTTAACAAAGATCAATCATCTTAAGTTTGAAGAAAATACTATTTATAGTCACAAAGATAAAAGTGACAAAATAACAATTTTCAAATAAATTTCAAGTTCAAAATAAGAATAATCTTAGAAACACAGACGTTAGAGTTATAAATCTAATCAAATATGATTAAGGTGTTGATAATGATTGTATATTTTAAATTTAACGTAATAGAGGGTTAAAGTATGAATAAAATAAAGTTCAACGAGATAATTCTGGAAATATAAATGCTAGATTCATAACCCTTTTCATATTATTATGGTGTGAGAGTTTAAAGTTAATCCTATAAGAAAATGAAAAAGCAATAATCAACCTTACTGAAATAGTTTGCGGAACAATAATTTTATTTTAGCAAAAATAAGTTAAATGGGGACAAATTTCTGGAAATAGTAAAGCTAGAGTATTGAATCTTCTCAAGCATAATTTGAGTGATAATAAAAAACATATATGTGAAATTTGAAATATAAACATTCAAAAATAAGGAAGTTATAAAAACAACATTTTTTCTCATTGAAATTCTAAGTTCAAGGGGGGGGGGAGGTTATTCTGATAATTTTTGTAAACCTTCTTACATATGATGTGGTTGATAATCAAAAACATATATTCGAAGTTTGAAGTTATTTCCTTGAGAAATAAATAACTTATGCAGAAATGAGTTAAAATTTGAATAAGTAATCTTGAAGAGGTGGCCGACACTAAATAAGTAGAACAGGTCTCAACATACTCCCTTTTGTCAAGATTAAAATGGTGTGCATAATTTCAATACTGCCATCTATCCATATTTCAAGTTTCGTAAAAAAAAATCAGAACTTTTTGCGTTATCACAGGATCTAGTTTTTGTGTTACATTTTTCATATTTGCAGTCTATTTATTGCTATAGCAACCAAAGTTTTCCACAAAGAAATAAAAGAAAAACTTGCATTATCTTCAGATTGCAATCTATTCATATACCAAATTTCATAGAAACATTTTCAGTACATTTTATGTATCACAGAATCCAGTGTGGACGGACAGACTACCGAACGCATTGATACAATTAAGAAATTACTCCTCGTTAGATAATATGTAGTAGTGTGTAGTTTAAAAAAAATACATTAATTCTCAATCCATTTTTATAATCAGCATTCAAAAAAAATTCACTTAGAAATTGCAAAATTTATTTCACTATCTTCTGAATAGACCTTTATTATGTACAATAGATTCTATCCATTTTTAATTGTAAAAAAATGAAGAAAAAAAACCCATAAATTATGCCGGAAAAAAGAGAAAACTATTTCTGTTTGCTTCGCCAATATGTCCATTTTGTCAGCTAACATAAAAAAAGAAACTACATACCTTAAAACATAAACTCTTTGCGAATAGATTAATCATACGATTATTAACAATGCCCATTTAATGATAGTCGCTTATATATTTGGAAAAACAAAGTCTCAGTTGAGAAAAACGTGTTGAAAACAAATTTAGTGAAAGCCAAGTTGAGATTTTTCTCCGGTGAGTTCGGATCTCAGTCACTAGTAAAACAATAAGATTTGTCTCAGTTTTAGAATGTTAATGAAAGCCGGGTCCGGCTCCATTTTTTGAATATGTGACATGACACCCTGCAAAATTCTAAATTGTGTTTGTTTCATGTTTCGTCACTTATGATTTTATTGATAAAAAGAAATCCTCAAGAATAGAGGCATTACCTCAAAACTATAAGTCATGTAAGATAAAACGTGGTGCAGCAGTCTTCTCATATGCATATGTTCGAACCCCACCAGGGGCACTGCTAATTTCCTTGAGCAAAAAATTTACCTGCGATTGCTTCACTTCACTCAGGTGTAAATGGGTACCAGCGAGGGTGGTATAATTCCGTTGCGCCAAAGTGTCGGCTGCACTAAGCGACGTTGAAAGACTCCCAAGGGAGATTGATAGATAGATACCAGTAGCCCGATGGCCAATGGTAATAGCTGCAAAGTCGGTGAACGTGCGTGAAACTAAGACTATAAAATGCAATTACTTTATACTACAAATAAGAGTTAGAGGATTTGTTAAGGGGGAAAATAGTCTGACCTTCAAATTATCATGCTTGTCCGTTTAATATGGAAAAATCAAATGAGTAAATTGTCATTTGAAGCTCATTCATAAATAAATTACTTCAACGCGGACATATGCGGGCATAATATGTGTTCTTTACATGATTTCAACTTGAACCATCTTATTTGTAGTTATTTGGTGGACACTGTCTATATTCTCGGTTATGTTGTTTTCAAATTCCATCTGTAGTCATTCAAAAGTTTCATATGCCATAGAAGGCGCGTTTTGCACGGGACAGTAACTTTTAACTATCAATGAAGAACTATCAATGGAGAAAAATTGATATAGCTAAAATAATCTGTAACAAATCATTCCAAATACTTATATAAGAAAGTGATGAAAGAGTAACATATTTTGGTTATATGCAGTTCAGAGAAATACAACTGAAACCCAAGAGCCTTGTTAAGCTATGCATTCATAGAAAAATGTATTTGTTAAATTGTTCCCACACTTTATATTACAGCTAAGCCAGATGGTGGGACAACAAGTTCAAATACACTAGCAGCAGGTAATAAGATTACTAGTGCGCAAAATGCAGGATTCCGTAAACTCCATGTATTTCAACCTTAATCTAAATGCATGCTTAATATTTAACTCTAGTCTTGTTTCAATGCCAGTATCCTAATTTGACTTATATAGTTACATGTATGCACAGGTTTAAGGTTAATACACAAAGAAAAGATATTGTATAAGTAGATTAATGTAATGAAAATAAGTGCATTCCACTTTCAACGACCACCGGTTTTATACATACTACTGTATATTAAACAAAATCGAAGTAGCTAAATAAGCAAGTCAATACTATATCGTGCTAACTTCGCGCGCAAATTTATAATTTAAACCGCTTCCAAAACAGTCCATAACTGACAGTAAAAGTTCAAATATATGAAAAAATATGTGTTTTTAAAGCACATTATGACCAATTCAGTTTCTTAAATTCTTTAGAAAGGTCAAACGTGTGTTTTGTAATGTTTAGACAATGGATTTAGAGAATATTAAATACTGAACAACTACACAGTAGCGCCGAATGTTCAATAATGAGTCGTGAAGACAAAATGTAGACAAAGAAGAATTTTGACTTCCATTCTTAATATAAATTCACTATAATCTTGTTAATTGTCAACAGAGCAGAAGAAGCAAAAGACAGTTCATTCAAATGGCAAATGAGTCATTTTTGGAACTGTAAGAAGGTTTCAACAATAACATTTGTAGAGAAATAAAATTGATAGCATTTCTGAGGCATAATTGGTTTTCAGCCAAATTGAATAAAAAATATGTTTAATATTTAATTTTGGACAAATCGTCATAAAGTTGAACGTGCCGTCAATAACGTCGGACAAATATTAATATTACCGTTATTTCGGATGGCTTTAAGATAATTGCTGTTCTTATTTGCTGATTTGCGTTGGCGTCGCGAGTCCGCAAAATAAGTTGCGGAGACCACTAAAGGACGTGTAGACCTCATGATAGTGCAATTGCGTTATATTCTTTCAAAAGATAAACATATCCTCTTTTGTAGCCAGCGTATACTATATAATAAATTAAGACTTAAATGTTTTTTCTTACATTTTAAAAGTTATATCGAACTCGGATTCTCGTCCACAGCATTATAACTTTACTCGGGGCTGAAAATCTGTTCATAGACCTCAACATAAGTCGTTAGGTATATTATATCAATTTGATTGTTAATGTTACATAGATATACATCCAAGATAATGAGTATTTAATTGTAATTTCCATAAACTTCGCCTAGTAGATACAATTCGTAGTTGTAAAGAATAAAATTGAGAAATAAAAAGAACATAACCAACGAGATGGTCGTTAAGCGACTGCAACTATACAGACATTTGAAATAGTATCACTTATATCGATATTCTTGTTTCGTTCTGAAATATTAATCTAATTGTCATACTACTTTTTTTAGAAACTCAGACATCGTCCAAGATGATTGCATCAACATCATATCAACATTTTAACATTACAACAGGTAAATATCAGTTATTATATTCAACCATTATATTTTTTATAGAAATTTCATGTTTAAGTCTAAATCTGCCAGTTTAGTCCGTTTAACTGCCTGGACTATTTGGAAAAAAAAGTGTAAAGTATGATGAAAATATGTTAATTATAATGACCCTAACTGTATGATCTAAAAATAGCTTAAATCTCATTGGTCCAAACATTAGTCAATAGATTACATATAAAAGAATATTCACTTGATGTAGTATCATGTTCACTGGCTGAATTGGATTTCCCCCTTCTAAAATTAGAACCAGACTCGTATATTAGTCTCATTCTTTTTTTAGGTTTGGAAAAAACAACAATCCAGCCATAGAATATGATACTACACCCAGTGAATATGATTTAATTTATTGTTCTGTTGACTACTGTTTGGACCAATGAGTTACATCTATGTTTAAATCATACAATTAAAAATCATATTTAATTGGACACTAATCAATAATTGTAAATTACATGATACTTCAAAATATGTTATCATGAAAAAAATGTTTAATTTCCGGCTATGGAGGACCAATGCTAAAATAATTACCACAACTGTTAGAAATGTATTTTTAATAACTAAACCATCATCTTTAGTTTTGAGATTTATTTATGTCGTATAGATTTACAATGAATTAGTTCAATTTTCCAACTACATGGAAATAAAATTAAATATCTAATAAGATAATGGTATACTTTACTATTTTGAGGTGTTTACATATTGTATCATAACCGTATACATCCTTTACAATGATTGAGGTTTCATTTCAATATTGAGTTTATTTTATTTTTAAACATTATTGGTATTTTTCAGGAATGATCAACGGTGCAACAACTCCAGAAGTGCTATATGCTTTAGTATTAATGGTATGCTTGTTGGCTTGGGGTTCCTCCTAAAACTGTAACTTTACGAAACGGAAACCACGTTTGATTGATGCATAAATGTTTCTTTACTTGCCTTGGATAATTTTATTTTGTGTCGATATATACATAAATGATTCTGTGCAATTGTATTTTATCTAGGTTATAAACTTATATATTAACCGGTATCTTCTATTTATTAAAATAAAAATAAAAAGAATAACATTATCTAAACAAAAAAGATGTTAAACGCAGTGTTCGTTTTATCATTTTATGCAATTGTATTTTTCAAAAACAGTAAACAACAAGTGAAATTTATAGCGTAGCAACTATTTTGAAAATCTTAGGAAAGATCCTGATTTCTAGATATCTTAGTATATAAGAATATATTGTGGTAGCTTATTTGCTTTGAATATAGTGTTAATATGTTCAAGAGATATTATCCCTATCATATTTTATGCCGTTTATTTGAAAAAATGTAAAAAGTCCCCAAAACATTTTAACCACTTTAAACAGAGCAGTTTATCATTTTCATAGACATGCATTAATATAACACATTTAACTTTTTACCTGGAAAAGTAGGCAAAGAAAACATACTACATACTTCTTTTCAGTTAAACAAATAAAACTTAACCACAATCATAAAAAACTGACTTGGGGCCGAGTTCATTCTAGGGCGGAAATTAATCTGATTCTATTATGTACAACATTTTTATAAATTTGTTGTTATGAAATGACTTACAGTGTGTGCTTGATAGAGCACTTAATACCCTCACAATCTGTTTATCTGACTGTTTTGCATGAGCTGTTATTATAACTTCTGTCAAGTAATAGTAACCGTACTGCATAATATAAATAAAAATACAGACCCGGGTTCGATTTGAAGACCAAGAGAGCGAAGCGATCAAGGTATTTAAAAGGCAACCCGGGTCAGTAAATACTATGCAAACCTATTCCGAGTGTGGTAACTATCTCACCTACAAGCTCTTTTGTTTTTTTCTGTAGAAACATCGGTAATGATCTAAAAAAAATATTAATATCATTTACAAGAAACCTATTATTTATGTACTTTATCAGTTTAAAGAAAGCATTCCAAAGCCACTCAAAGATACTATTCGCTACGCTTTTGTAATTCATTGGTGCACAATTCAAGTACTAAGTATTCTTTTGAAATTCCCGTGTTTTTCGTGGGTTTTTATTATGTAATAAGGTCAGGTAAATGTTCATGTTCACATTTGTATTGCAATACTAATAATAATAAATGTTTATAAATTAAACGAACATAAACAGTTGAAAATGCTTAATTTTTTTATTAGTGAAAAGTACAATCATTTATAAAGTACCAATGTAACGTCGAAGGTTAATAATAATCAGCTTTATTTCCATGTTAACATATCAACATCAACAATGCAAACATATATGAGAAAAAAAATCTTAATATCTTGGCGCGATTTCATATTTTAAGATAAGTTAAATATAAATTTTCTTCAATGATTATCGTCGGTATTCTTGGCGCTAAATGATCACGCTGACATTATTCCCGAGAAAACCATGCGATTCACATCGCTATCTATAGCAAACAGTTAAAACGAAACTGGGGAATTAATTTATTTCCAATTCACTGCCTTAATACGTAGAATATTGAGTCACAGAGAATGAAAACAGAATTTACCGAATTCAAGTTTCAAGTAATTTATATAACGCGTCATTATTGTGTAATATAAACAAAATAAAATAATAATAATATTCATAATACAACAATATTGAGACTGACATGTGTTGAACTGAACTTATAAGTTTAACGAAGGGAAATAATAAATTTGGCGCAGGGCAGAGTAAAAGTTCTGCTGCGTTTATTATTATTGTTGCTATTCAGCAGCATCTTTCCTTACAGTAGGCTTCATTAACTGTAGGTTTTAAATCAATTTAAATCTTCTTCATAATTAACATTTCAATTTTTTAATAAAAAAACGTACAGTGTGATTCACAAAAATGTCGAATATCTATATCTTTTTTTTTTAAGTTTAAGTTGAGCAAGGTTCGGAAAAAACTTAGTCTTATTAACTCAACCAAGTAACTTTTCGGAAATGGACCAAGTAAAGATAATATTTCCTGACTTGAACTTTCAGCTTGTATACGTACATTTTGATGATCAACTAAATAATTAAAGTTCTACAGAAATATTCATAATGCATGTAAATTAATATCAAATGCCCGAATAATATATTCTGATAGCAATAAATGATTTCGTGCTTATGTAGATACATAACATAAATTATAAAGAAAACAAATATCCTAGACCAATGTGCCAGTAATGTCATATATGCTATAATCAGCTTCAATTTTGATAAACACGGTCATTGTATATCTTCAGTAACTGCATTAGAGTTTACATTATCCAAGGACAAGGTTTTTGAATGTAGTATAGGAACGTTGACAATGATATGTTATATATCATAGAAAGATGTTGACTATGTTTACAGTATCCAAATACAAATAAAATCCAAAACTGTTTCAGAAAAAAATCTCCATAATTGAAATAGAATACCTCAAATGCAATTAGGACAAACCTAACTAATGCAAGTGCTAAAGATAACGTTGCTGGGGGATCATGGAGTTCGATAACACGTGTTAGCAAATATCTTGCACTGTCAATGAACATAACAAAGTTAGTTGTGATGATGCAAGGTCTTACAAATGTAGATTAATTTATAAGAATTTTACAACAGCAACGATAGTGTCTGTAGAAAATATAGACAATTTTACGGTTCAGGATTAGTAAAATAGATAAATACAGAATCCCTAAAGACAGCCCAACACGGCAAAATTGAAAATGTTGCAGGCTCGGTTTGATTGAGCCTGTTCATGGACGGTACTGGAAAGTGCAAGTTACCGTCCACGCCCCCTAGCACCGGCTAAATTTACATTCTTGTAAAAGCTTGGTTCATTACGACATGAAGTTGAAATCAATGAGATCTTTGACTTTATATTTGTTTCATCTCAAACTATAAGTCATTTTCATACATAATCCATCCTTCAAAAATTTAAGTGACATTGTCAGCAAAGTTCATGATATACCTTTTCAAACACAGTAGTTGGAATATTATATCACATACATTTATATTGAAAAAAATGATTATCAAATAGTGAACAATATTTCATCCCTCTTAACCATGGAAACACACATTTAAGTGAGTGAAAAATCAGGCTCGGTATGAATGAGGGAAGTAATAAGTTGCACACTAATCATCCAAATCTCCTTAAACAGGCTTCATCAAAACATAAATGTTGTCGTGTATTTCTTATTTTAATCAATGAACCCACAGGGCGAAATAAACCTGCTCATGTAAGATCTCTCCGTATTGAGTTTTAAAAACTGTGAATAAATTTATTAATGCTTATATATTTTTTCTCAATCTTATTTTATTGTATTAATATATTTCTTAAACATGTTTAGGATAAAACAAAGAAAAAATATAAGCAATAATTTGTGTTGTATGAAAAGGAGAGTACTGCATTATTGTCAATTAAAATTTAGTACTACATTTTGAAGTTAAACCTCAATATCATCGTTAACAGCAAGAAAGAATGGTGTTCTTGTACAAGGATCGTCATCTACAAAACATATAATAACGGTAAATCCTTTCACCTAACTATATTTTGTAAATACTCAGTCTTTTACTTCGTATCCTGTTTCCTTCATGTCCATACCTTTCTCTATTTCTGATTGATCGGGTCAGAGCACGTGAGATCTGTTGTTGTTTTAAATGCTTCACAGGGAACACTTTTTACCAGATATTGATATTCATATATATGTGTATTATTAATAATATAATAATAAAGTTTTATTAATGTATTTGACCTGATTTTGTTCAATTACATTTCCTTCCTAACTGATATATAAATTTGATGCAGTTGAATAACGTTGTGATATATAAATAATAGTAATTTTGCCTTATAATTTACGTTTTTATCTTTATCTTAATAAATAGGAAAGTGCCAGAATTTTTATGACAAGCTATTTTCAGCTTACGTATAATTTCTTCAACACATGCTTTTCCTATAGTTATAGTTACCGTAAAAGAAATATGTCTGAATAGTATTGTTTAGACCAGAGTGGCTTTTTTAACAAAATGTACATGCTGTAAATCATTGCTTTTTAAAATACTATATGTAAATGTCAACAGATTTAAAGTCGTATAAAAAATTGGCAACTTTACCCTCGAACATGCTTAAACTCGCAATTACATGTGTTTTAATCTGAAGAACTCTTTGAACAAACGATTAAAAGACTTATCTAGCTGAATGTTCCGGAACATTCAATTCCATCGGGTAATCAAACACGATTTAAATACATTTGCCGAAATACAGATTTTAAGCATGAAAATTATATTTATTATTATATTATCGTAGATTGGTTGTCATGCACCTTGATGCACATTTATTGACAACTGAACAAATATGAATAACTTAATCAGTTCATATGTACATGTTTAAATAAATGATAACATTTAAATAAATGTTACTTTGATATCATAATATTTTGAGCATTATGTACATGAAAAAATATAGTTTGATAACTGGTTTCATAACAACATGAAGAGGAAGTTTTAGATATAATAAAACTATGTCATATTTAAATTTTAAATTGCTCTTTTTCTTTATTGTATTCACAGCAAATGAAGGTAAGTTGTCACACTCTTTTGTTTTAAATATTTATTTTATTTTTTAAATTTCATTTTCATTCTTTACTAAAAATGGCGACATTTGATTTTATAGATATTTGACATCATTGGATATTAATACCCGCTATTGTACGGAATGCCGTAAAGCAACGTAATGTGCCGAATTTTGCCGAAGTTCATTAGAATTAATAACACATCCTAAATAATGCTTATGTCAATTCGAAATATTAAAATTTGTAATTATATATCATTCATTAAAAGTCCTTGTGGGAAAGATACACGTTAACAAATTAATCAGCTGGAAAACGTTAATCATTAAGTTGTTTATTAAAATAGATTTACTTTATTAGTTAACTGGTTCATAATAGAAGGTCTTCATTATCATAAACAATTATTTTGGAAGTAATTTGTTTCATTTCGTGACAATAAAGCCACGAAAGAAAACTGTGGATGGTGTTAGAGGATGTGAGATCATACCTGATACAATACGAAAAATTCTTATATCGCCTGGAACAAAACATTATTATCCATCTTATAATTATTCATACTAAATGACTTAAAACTTATTCAACATTGGGTTTTCTTTCAGGAAATATTTCATAAGATTATGCAACTGATTCATTTGTAATGTTTTTGTCAATGTTCTATTTACTTTTGAAAACAGTGCCCATCGTAGACCAATCTATTTCATCATCCGCAAATTACAATGTTATACTATATTTAATTTAAATAGTTTGAAGTATGACATAATTAAAGGTTGTAGCCAATTATTCCATTGTTTTATTGGCAAAATATATAAATTCAAAATTATTTTTCAGATGCATTCCTGGCGCAAACTGATTCCGATGATAAAGGTAAATTGTACAAATGATTATCCAACACTGCAGTGTCCTATTTTAGTACATATATGTGTATGTATTGTGGCAATTGTAATGTGACACATTTGGTCAATTTGTTATAATTTAAAGTATCGAAAGTGTTCAATTAGACAACTGATTATCCTTAACGTTCTGTTCTGTGAAAAATCATTTTGAACAGGTCACGTAATGAATTTCAATTTTAAAATGTTAAATCTCCGCTTTAAAGAAATTAATAATCACAGTTGGGCAGTGATTGAAGAAGATCTTCCATTTATGATTTCAAGGAAGGGATAAGCAAAATTTAAATGCCAATATGTTCATTGTTTTTAAAAAAATCAAAGCGGCATTAGAATAACATTATATAATATTATGTTATATTATATTATATTATATTATATTATATATATTATATAATTATATTATATTATATTATATATATTATATTATATTATATCTATATCATATCATATCAAATCATATCATATCTTTCATATCATACCATACCAAACCATACCATACCATATCATATACCATACCATACCATTTATCATATCATATCATATCATATCATATCATATCATATCATATCATATCATATCATATCATATCATATCATATCATATCATATCATATCATATCATATCATATTATATTATATTATATTATATTATATTATGTTATATTATATCATACTATATTATACTATAATTGTGTTATACGACCATTTTGAGCTGGTCTCCATATAGAATTACAGAACTTAAGTAAGCTAGTATGATAGGTATCCAAGCCCATGTCCAAATTCGAAGGGCAAGTGATACTAAGTAAACCACCATAAATATAGAGACTTAAAATACATATATGAGATAATGTCAAGATTCTGTTTATTAATACACTTTTCAAATCAGGTCTAAAAAATTAAGTGTCACACAACCTTTGTATAACCTGAAAGTTTGAGAATCAAAACCTGAACATGACTTTGTCAGAAAGTAGCTTAACTTCCTCTAATTATAAGTCATGTATTAACCACAAACCTACTGAATGCGAGTGAATGTTTTGGCTAGCTTTGTAAATGTAACAGAATTTCAAGGAATTTCAATGTAAAATAAAAACAAATGACCAACCAACAATAAAGGGTCTGATCAGTGTGCGCAGATAAACATGATGATCTAGCTATAATACTGGTTTACTGTCGGTTCTAGCAAGATAAGGTTTAAAAAGGACAAAATCTTATCTAATTCAACCCACTTAGACTTTTGATATAAACAGAAATACCATTAAAAGTGTTATTAAAGCAATATAACACATACAATATGTAATACTATTACGTCTGTTTACAACCTAATGCATACATTATTTTGAACAGAGATTATTCAATCATTTCAGGATATGGCGATTTAGGGCTACCAATTATTATTTTGGACGGCACTGCTGTGTTAGGGCTAGGTTTTCTAATTGGTGTTTGCTGTGCTTGTGTACTTTTACGCAAAAAAGAAAAGATAAAAGGTATCATTATATTTGTTTATGATTGTTTGAAATTAATGGACTAAACTCAATTCTGTGTTGATACTTTCAATGTTTTGTGTAGACCAATATAGGAACGGTTAATTGTCAGTCTAATGACAATTAATATTTGTATCGATAATTGATTATTTATCAAAGGGGAGCGGTGGCCTAGTGGTTAAGGTGTCTGCCTCTCAACCCAGAGATCATGGGTTCGAGCCGTACTCGGGTCACGACCAGGTTTCTTTATACGACACCAGTACTGGGTTGGTTACCAGGAAGCGACTCAAAAGTGATTCTACTATAAGTTTCAAGAGCTTAAATAAATTTTATGTTTAAACCAAAATTATTTTTTTTTTT